GATAAAATTAAACATTCCATTGCTGGTGCTGTTGCTGGCTGTGTCAGTTCTATTGTAACGTGTCCGCTGGATGTAGTCAAGACAAGGTTACAGAATCAGGGCAAAGTTACTAGTGATCAAAGGATACCCCCGTATCGTGGCACTGGAAGTACAGTTGTTTGAATTCTTCGATTAAAATTGAATTACTTAAGCACCTAATTAAATTAATTAATTAATATATAATTAATTTATTTGACTTTTAAATATAGAAGCTCTAAAACGTATATGGATAGAAGAAGGAATTCGAGGACTGTATCGTGGTCTTGGACCAACGTTATACGGTTATCTCCCTACATGGGCTATTTATTTCAGCGCATATGATTATTTCAAATCTGCATTAGGAGAACGAACAGGTAAAATAAATTCATGATATAATTTATACAAGTGCGTAATAGTTGAGATCGCTATAAATTTATCTCGTATTTGATGACATATATAGTTGGATTATTGCATAATCAAGATAAAAAAGAGAGGATTATTTTCGTGACTTTTTTCGCGTAGAATTTTTGGGACAACAAAAAAGATTATTTCTTTGTGGAAATTATCGTAGCATCCTAAATTCCTCAATGTTTTCTTAAATATAAAAATGTACGCGAATATTGAAAGATTATTATTACGATTATTATTCTTTATTTTTACATTTATGATTATTCCAGTTATTTTTTATTGCATAAAAAGTGGATTTCTAAAACTGATGAGAAATATTATTATCAACTTGTTCTTGAAACCAATTTTGCGCTAGGGCGAACCGCGGATCACCGATGGGTAGTGCATATATTCGCGGCCATGGGCGCAGGTGCCACGAGTACTATAGTCACTAATCCATTGTGGGTGATAAAAACACGGTTCATGGTATTTGTCGATAACCAGTATATTGAAGTCGTTCGTCAATTTTCCACCCACCCGGCATCTTCCCCATCGGTCATACTAGTTGTCCAACACGAATTAATGGATGAAACTTTACTTTTTTTTTAAAAAAAAACATTTACTGTTATAGACGCAGAACGAATCAACAGCATACATGTACAGGAATACATTTCACGCTTTTTCTACCATATACGAACATGAAGGCTTAAAAGGCTTTTACAAAGGCCTTGGTCCTTCGTTAATGGGAGTAAGTCATGTAGCCGTACAGTTTCCTTTATATGAAAAGATGAAAGTTTTGTTAAGTACGTTTTCTTTATTTGATTCGTTTGTGTTTTTTTTTTTTTTTTTTTCGGTTAGGCGCCAATTTTTCATACATTTAATTTTCACAGAATCACCAGATAAAGATTTGTCCAATTTATCAATTTTATTCGCGTCATCCGTTTCAAAAATGACAGCATCTATAGCAACATATCCACACGAAGTAGTTCGTACAAGGTTGCAAAACCAAACTTGTAAACCATTTAAATATCTAGGAATAATGCATGCAGTTAAGGTAATAAGACACGAAGAAGGGTTTCTAGCCTTTTATAAAGGAATGTCAACCAATCTTTTAAGAACTGTACCTGCAAGTGCGTTAACTATTTTAACATATGAGGTTTTGGTTAGAAAGTTAAATGCGAATTCTGATAAAGGTGGTTAATCATGCATTTAGCATGACATACTGCCAAGTGTTAGAAACGAGAACATTTCAAGGAATTATGTGAATGTACGGATTTTTCAATACATTCTCATATAAAATTGGTGGGTAATGCATGGACAACATATTTATGCAGACAATTAATGATTTATTGACGGTAATAAATTTAAATATAATGACAATCATCAGTTTTATTCTTGTAATATGCTTTTTAACATGAATAAATCATCAATTTGTCCGGATGGATGGATTGAAATTATCATTAAAAATTCTCGTGAATATCTATCTATTCAATATCAATATATTGTATTTAAACTTTGTACAAAAAGTGGTGATTACGTAGAGATAATTCTTATAGACTATTCTCTACATGGTCGGAGCTTAGGTACACATATGTTCGTTGAAGAACGAGTCTTATTTAAAAATTAGGCCGGATCCACCTCGGCCCGCAAATCTAAAATGTGGCTTTTTAGAAAATTCATAATGAAGAGTTTGACGTTAAGAGCTGGACTTATGATCACAAATTATTTATAACTATATATTTTAAATTATTAAATTCGGATTCATTAGAATTTTTCGATCACGTGACCACCAAACCCTGCTATATGACCGTTCAGAATAACGCGATAAGATAAAATATGCACCAAATTTTGACAAGGGTAAAGAGTTCAACGAACCTGGTAGTCCTCTAAAAAAAGTTCTGCTACTGGGTTTAGATCTATTATTGCTGTATATAATCGATTTTAATCAATGGAATTTCTTTTGCTTATTATGTTAATTACGTGATGCTGAGAAATACTACAAAAACTGTCGGTCACTTAAGAAATCAAAAAAACTTTTCTAAGACAAAAGTTGCTGTGACAAGTGCTTGCAATGGGCAAGAGAAAATTCAAAACAGATATTATTTCTAAGTCGTCCGAATTTCTTTAAAAAAAGAATGTGGATAATGATTTGAAATACAAAAAAAAAAAAAAAAAATCTAAGCAAAACATTGGATGGGAAGTAGCAAAATATAATATCATGGTCATTTTTAGAAGCACAATAATGTAAGAAACTGTTACGTACTTACAGCCTACATTGTAGCTAATTACGGCATAAGAACACTATAATACCCTGGGTACTATTCAATCAACCATCCATCAAATTTTTTGAATAGTACCCTCCCGGGTACTGGAGGATACTATAACGATAATAGGGGAATACTTTACATATATAGTTTAATATTAGTTTAATAACGATAAGGATTCAAATATAAATATATATTCTAAATCATGAACCCATGAATTGTACCCGGGATATTATAGCAGGGGTATTATGTTCATAGTTTAAGTAGATTCTCGGCGCACAATTGTGTTACTATTCGCCGGTGCAAGTATAGACATCTAGTTTTGAGCATAGCTTGTTCGGAGAAAATTTAAATTCAGTTACGTACGTACGTACGTACGTAACTTTTTTTAGGGGTATACAAAGGGCTTATCCATCCGCCAAATCTAAGCATTTCTTTCGACAGATTTTTTTGGCTGCTACCAAACCATTTGTTTATCCCAGCTGCGGAGCCCCATATGTAAATCCGGACTCTTATTAAATATTTAGCGTTTATATTCTTGGAATGCAACATCGGTCAATTTAAGCATATCACATAGTAACACGCAAACAGAAAATAACGTCCGAAACTATATTTCATTTTTCCTGGAGATTAGTGAACTTAATCCAGTCTGGACCGGACCATTGAATCTGAACCACCCCAGCCAACCTTATAAATAAAAAGGTTGATAGAAAATACGTGATTCGGTACCGGTACCAAAATGAATGATCATTACCGTTACTAGATCGGAAATTTCTTGATTTGAAAAAGCCCCCAATCTGATGTTAGATAATCAAAGAAATTTCTCGTGTCGCATATTAATTAGAATGATTTAATCTTTT